TTTCGTGTTATATAGTTTTTATGTATGAGTTGGTTATTTCAACCAAAATTAACGAGGCCTTGAGCACTACTATACAGAAAAGAGAGAGAGTGGCTTTCCTTTAAATAATATCTTGGCTGGAGAAATATAAAAAGAAATTAGAAGGATTAAAACACAAGAAATACAGAAAAAAGAATTGAGCGCAGGTATTGATAATTTAGCAATAATCAAATTTTAAAAATTATTTATGTACACTGATGCGAAAACAAATAACAGTTCAATATTTTATAAAAGACAATATTTATGAAACAATAATTCTCTCTCTCTCTCTCTCTCTCTATCTCTCTCTCTCTCTCTCTCCCTCTCTCTCTCTCTCTCTCTCTCTCTTCTCTGTTGAAATGTTTATTTATATTCATATATGCAACCTAAATATTGCATTAAATTTGTATGCAAGCCTACTTATTTTTATCCAGTGTCAAAACAGGTTGTCAGATGTCATCCAGAAGAACCTGATTCCAATCTTTTCCTTTTGCTCAGGATCGAAAGAAATCTTCTGGCACAGATGTGAACCCAAGGACGTTAATTTCTTTTAGTTACGTCAAACGTAAAAATCAATTGGGAAAACCCTTTAAGGAATGGCTTAATCGGACATCGTTTTGAGATTTTTTTTTAAACTTAAAGATAAACAAGTAAAAAACTTAATTACGAATGTAAGAGTTAAATTGGTCTTTCAGGAAAACCGAGCTTAATTTTAATTTTTCAAACCAGAGAGAAACTTAGGCCAGAGATAAGGAAACGAGTTGTTTAGGCAATCAAATATATTTCCTATCGTTTTTCCACCATGTTCTTCAGATACTTACACAATAAATTATGAAAACTTTTCTACATGTTGCTATAGGCACTGATTTTTACCTTTGACCCTCTTCTTACACACTGGATGAAAAACTACCGTATTCTTTACCTGAGTACCCCGAGACGCCATCCTCTCCAAGGTTCTACAAGCTCTTACACAAAATTTTTTAATAAAGTTTATAACTTAAGACTATAATCATTAATATTTTTCCGAATCCTAAACATCCGTCAACCATTGTTTTAGCGTTTATCAAAAATATTTTAAATTTTATTAAATAAAATTCTGAAATCTCTGAATGAGCAGTACCCAATGTTGCGTTTCTTTTTGCTTATTTATGCCCTACTCATGAAGTAACAGCCGGTGGATCTTTGCAGATCCAAAAGGCATGAAGAAGAAACCAGTCGAGCCAAGGACGAACCGGGTGAATAAGAGGGTTGAATTAATGACCAATACGGAAGGCCAGCAACTCACAAAATGACGTATTAAGTACGAATTATGATTTTCAGGATTAAACTATTAACGGGGTCGGCCTATTCAATTTTTCAACCGCTTCTCGTTTTCTGTTTCAATTAAGAATAAGTACGTAAATCCACAGGCTAATAAGATTAGTGAAATATTTTGTAATAAGTGCTCTAAAAATTGTCGGATCTCTCTCTCTCTCTCTCTCTCTCTCTCTCTCTCTCTCTCTCTCTCTCTCTCTCCTCTCTCTCCCTAGCAAGAACCCTCGATATGCACTTACTGCCTCTAAAAGCCACTTACCACCACACAACGAGGTGTGCATCTCTACTAGATATTATTTTATGCAATAATCTCGATATCATTGGATCAAATGAACAATATACAACGTTAGAAACTACAAGAAAATAAAAAAATACGCTTTAATTGAACATGCAAATTTCGCTCACGCAGTATGTCCACCATGTCTGGAAATATAGATTAGACCTAATTATGGAATTCTATTTCTGACCCCTCCAATTCATTCACTCAATTTCCTTTAAATAATATATGTCTTTATTACATCTGATTTTTTGTCCCTTTACCATTAAAACTTTTCCCCTCGGTTTGTTTTCTATTAGAAGTAGTTTTACTATTATGTTTAATCTTTTTTGATGGTGTACTAGCATGTAGCGAATAATGTTATAATCTCGCTTTAATTCTTATTATTTTTTTGTTTATTCTTTTTCTCTTGACAACGACCTCCGGCAGACGGATTGTGATCCATGCCTTTATTATGCATTGCTAATAATCATTGTTATATACGTAGAAATAAAAAGCATATTAAAAAAAACATGCAAACGAAATTGATTGGCAATCATTATATGAAACAAGCAATATTAACTAACAATTGAGTCTACTAAATAAATTCGCATCAGTAGTGGAAATGAAGTAAGGAAAAATGCCTATAAAATGGATGGTGATTGGGAAAATTTCCGTGTTTGAAGAAATCAAATCAAACAAAAAATAAACGAAAAAAATAGAAACTTCCACGACTTATTTCAGAATAATAACAAAACAAAAGTGGAAAATACTCAGAAACTATGGTGCCTGAAAACAAAGAGGATATAATGATGAAATTAAAGTAGATCTTGACGAATTAAACAGTTTTTTTGCAACACTAATGCTGAAAAATACACCCTGAGATCCTGCGATGCTAGAGATCAAGCATCTACATATACTGTAGAAAAATTCAAAATCAAAGAAGTCACTACCAGCCAAGTACAAAAAGCGATGTCCGAAATAACTTCGGATGCAATAGGGGTAGACGAAGTACCAATAAAATTCCTAAAAATGATAAAACACGAAATGAGACCGGTATTTAATCATTGTTTAATAAATAAGACCTACCCGAAGTTATGGAAAGACGTGTCATAATACCACTTTCAAAAACACCCAATCCGACACTACTTAGTGACTTTAGACCAATAAATGTTTTGTGCTCCCCCAGCAAAATTTAGATAAAGTAATCTACACTAAGTTGATCAACTACATCGACAGTAATAATCTATTAAACAACATGCAGACAGGATATCAATCTGGGAGTGGCACCAGCACTGCGTTAATAAAACTCATAGATGACACACGACATGCAATAGACCAGAACCATTCTAGAGAAGAATTAATAATTCTAGTGCTCTTTGATATTCAATAAATCGTGAGCTTTCAATAACGGTACTTCACTCGTACATGAACGAGAGGTGCATTAATAACGGATAAAAAAGAAAAATAGCATGTCGTCGAAGAAGGAAGTAAAGACAGGTATCCCACAAGGTCCTGCTTTGTCCGGACTATTGACTATTCATTGTAGTAATCAATAGCACATGCGACTCTTTCACAGAATGCAAATTAATATTATATGTTAATGACCTTCAAATGTACATAAAAAGTAAGCTTGATAAAATTAATCTTAACAATCTCTTTCCCTCTCTTCACTTTCTTTTTTTCTATTCTCTCTTCTCTCTCTCAGAGAGAGCTCTTTCTTATCTTTCACTGTTAACTCCCTCTCTTACTCTCTCTCCTGCTCCCTCTCACACTATCTCTTCTCTCTATTTCTTTTCTATCGCTCTCTTCTCTTTCCCTCTCGCTCTCTCTCTTCTCCCTCTCTCACTCTTTCCTGCTCGCTCTCATTCTCTTTCTCTTCTCTCTCTCTCTCCCTCTCTTTGTTTTTCTTTTCTCTCTTCTCTCTCCCCTCTCTCTTTATCTTTTCTCTCCCGTCCCTCTCTCTTCCCTCTCTTTCTTTTATATCTCTCTTTCCTCCCTCTTTCTTTTCTCACTCTCTCACTCTATCTCCAGCTCCCTGTCCTCTCATACTATTTCTTCTCTTTCTTTCTTTTCTATCTCCCTCTTTTCTCTCCCTCCACGCTCTCTCTCCTCTCACACTATCTTTTCTGTTTCTCTCTTTTCTATATCCCTCTTTTCTCTCCCTCCACGCTCACGCTCTCTCTCTCTCTCTCTCTCTCTCTCTCTCTCTCTCTCTTTTTTCACTCTGTTTTTACATCTCCATATTCTTTGGATTTTTTATGTCTGGAGAGTTCTAAACTCTGTACGGCTGTGTACAATTGTTTTCTCAAACGTCATGTGAAGATTTAAGTTTCTGTTAGAAATTGCGCCTGTTTTTTTTCGTTTTTTATTTTTTAAATTTTAAATAAAGATTCCTGCTAATGTAACGTTGAAATCAACTTACAGTCTTGTATAAAACGCCCGACGGACAAACCTACGATCTAAATAGCACATACTGTCATTACACCTGCAGCTATTCTAAGAGAACAGTCAACTAAAAAATTGGCAGCTCATTCAAGACAAATCTGTTTTTTATTTTACATTCCCTCGTTATTGTTATACATCATAAAAGTGATAATTGGAATATTATATTTATTTCAAAGCTAATGAGGCTTTCTTTCATTAAATCGAATCAGTCATAATTCTTCCCCGTTTTCTCTTGTATCGACTATTTTCAACGACCCTGACTTTGTTTATTTATTTGGAAAAGTACCAATATGAGAAAGAATCTAAATGTATTTGTTTACTTTTTTATTAATTTCCCCCGCTCAATGATAAAATTAGTTTTGCCCTTTCTAACCGGCTAAACGAATCGGCGTCAGCGTGTCTAAAGGAAAAATTGTGAATTGGCTTAATCAAACTGCATCTGACTCTAAATTAAGACTCGTATCAGCCCGAATAAAAATGCCCCGGGCCTTTTTATTTTAACGATTTTGACCTATTAACCGGCAGTCATAAAAACATTCTGCCGAGGCCGTTTTAAACAATCACACTGGATTGGATTACAGGCTGAACGACCTATAAATGACACTATCTATCAACAGTCATACAATTGAAATATGAGCAATATCCTGGAAAAGACTAATTGCCAAGATTACAAGTTGTTCATAATTTTGTTGGTTTTGAGATTTATAATTGTTTCATAATTTTAGTGTTAGCAGACGTTGAAAGTGAAACGACTATGTACGTCTTTCGGAACAACTGCGCATGAAAGGCTCGACTGAAACAAATAAACAAGCTGTATTTTTATTTCAGGTTATTTGTGCTTGATTTCAAATTGAGGCAAAATACTGCGAGTTGAATTCGACTGATACGATAGACTGATAAATTGACTACAATCACCAACGATGAAATTGTTATCGTTAAGTTCAACTACTTGCTATAAAGGACCTGAAATAAAGGTCCTCCTGTTCTAATTTATTCGTTTGCAGCCAGAAGAGAGGTGGAGAGGTGAAGGAAAGAAATGCGAAAAGTGTGGCCAAGGAGGTTCGCTTTTTGCCACAGCTGGTGCCCCTTGCTGAGCCAGTTCAGAGCGGTCAAGGCTAGTGCTGAAAAGGTCTATTCTTCTGTCAACAATACAAACTTTCTGCATATTATTCTCAGTGTCATTTTCTAGCCTAATGTAACCGTGTTGCCGAAATTTGTCTACCCATTATAAAGCAACCACGAGGGGTAGCAATATAAAATATTAGCACCAAGGTAAACTAGACTAGACTGTAGGGGACGCTAATGTTCCTCATATTTGGTAAAATTTAATAATTCCCCAATGTTTAATTTGTAATTTTTGTTTTATACATTTGTATTTGACTTGTCAGTGAAAGAAGGAAAAGGGGAAAAACCGGAACCGTCATTGAAAGTCAATTTTCCTGAACGCAACGAGCCACTTTTACATGCTTTCTCATGAATATTTATGCGTATGAGAACGGTGCATCCTTTAGTCGAGCAAATTAAATTTAAATTTCAAAAGCCTCAGATCTTTCTTTTTCTCTCACAAACTGCCCCTAATTGCCTCATTGAAGGAAGGCACGTTTTTGGAATAATCTTAAATTTGTTAATAAGGTTTAATACTGTACAGGCTTTCGGGATATCTGACCTTAACCCCAAGCTGTAACAACAAAACAATAACAAAAAACACTAAACGGACCGCATATATACAGGAAGAAAAGTACAATTAACAATTCCTACAGTAATGACAGCTACGAACACAATTAGAAAATACAAAAACAAGACATTGACATAACAACCTGCTCGAAAAGAAATGGCACATACATTGAACAGGCAGGATGGAAAGTAACAAACAGATACAAAGAAAATAATTATATTTCATTTAGGGACAATGGAAAAAATTAAAATTGGAGACTCACCTCACATAAAACTATTAGGAACCCTCAACAACACAAATATTTGGCCAAGCGGACCACGAAACCTAATAAAAAGATACAGACAAGTATGAAACTACTACAGACGTACAAATAGTACGAAAATGAACATACACGAAAACTTGGAAATAAACAAAGCCATCATATTTATCACTAAAAAATTAGATAAACATACAAGATCAGTTCACATACATCGTTGCAACTTTCAAAATAATATGCGAATTAAAAAGTAATTATGTTTAAGGTTACAAAGACTGGTCAGAACAATAAAAAAAATTTAAAAAAGGGAGAAAATTTTGATATGTGTGTTCAAACACCAACCATTTCTGTCTTTGACTGATTATTGAATGGGTATCAATATCCCTCTTTCTACTTCTCACTCTCACTCTCTGTCTGTCTGTCTCTCTCTCCATCTCTCTTTTTTATTTACCTATCTATTTGTAAAATACATAATACATTATTTACAGCGCTGTCTATCTAGTCCGAAGCTCGTGTGATTTCAGTTTTTGATTGTTGTTGATGTTGATTGTTTTGAGTGTGTGTCTTTTATAGTTACCCATTTGTTGCAATTGTTGTTGTTTAAAGTTAGGTTTAAAAAGTGACACAAATTAAATCATTTTCGTATTTTATTCAATTCAATTTTCGATTTTTTCCTTTTTTTTAACCAGTTACACGAAAAATTGAAACTATCGAATTCTTAAGGAAAACTTCAATATCTTCAGAACAAATCGAGGAATGTTTGAGTTCGTTTTATCATTATTTCTAGAATGGAAAGAACTTTCAAAATTTATGTAAAAATAGAGCATTATTTATAGCCAGGTCGGCTTTCGCACCAACTTATTAAAAATTCTAACAGCGTTTGCAGATTCTATGTGAAAAATTGCCTTTGGAACTATACTTAGTTTTACAATAAAATAGGCAGCGTAAAAATAAAAAGTCATTCTTTTATTTTAAAAAAATCACACGCTATCTTTAATGACTATTCCAATCAAATTATTTATCTCTTTTCACTAAGCTATCAAAAAAAGAATCAAAACTCGATTCTTTTATCTTTATAGTGATACAAAAATATGACAAACAATAAAACCTAAAAACTTAAACGAGATATCGACTTTTTATTATCATGCCGTCAGTAAAACATTGTCATAAAATAATATCAGCATTAGTATCATATGGAGTTCTCTTCCTTCTTTTCGGAGTAAACAGAATTTCGAAACAGTCAAACCAGAAGCCTCCCTATCTACCCGCCCTCCCATAGCACGATAATAAAACTTGATAAAATCTATAATTTGTTGATAAATGCCAAAAATAAAACGGTCGCATAAGAAATCTACTATAGATCCTAAGGTAAACTTTGACCAGTTTTGTTGTAACAGTTTATTTAACTAAATTACACAACTGCTAGATACATTTTTTTTTGACATCCCAACCAAAGGATTTTTGTAAAATGTGATCCATGGCTGTCTCATATCATGTCCGACCAGTGGGTCGCATAATTTTAATATTAAACGGGTTTTCTTAGAAACAGCTTAATTAAGTATTACTTAATGATATGACGTCTACCTCTTGGAAATATGGAAGTTTCCCTCTTGTACATGATACCGAGATTTTAAACATTGCTAATATAGGTTTAACTTTTGTTATTGTATTCAACAATCCCTCCACACAAAAAGTAGCACCACGAGGCAAGGTGGGAAATCAATTTTCATCAAAGTTATTCCGAGATCGTGAGATGTGGTCTGGTGTGACGTAGAATTAATAGAAATTTTAGATTAAAAAAATGAATTTATACAATGCTAGAAAATTTTAGATTAACAGAATACACGGAAAATAAACACTTTGAGTGAGTACAAATACTTAATACTTTTAATCAAAAAATTTTCTAGCATTGTATAAATTCATTTTTTTTATCTAAAATTTTCTAGCATTGAATATTTTTTTATCTAAAATTTTCTAGCATTGTATAAATTTATTGTTTTATCTAAAAGTTTCTAGCATTGAATAAATTCATTTTTTTATCTAAAATTTTCTAGCATTGTAAAATTCATTTTTTTATCTAAAATTTTCTATCATTGTAAAATTCATTTTTTTATCTAAAATTTTCTAGCATTGCATAAATTTATTTATTCCACATCCTACATGTATTTGTAAAATTTAAACAATGTTTATAGTCCCAGGCCCTGAAGATGATCTCAATAAAGATCGAAACGTTGGCACGATAAAGAAAATGTTTTTGTACAACCTACGTCATACCAGACCGCATCTCACGATCTCCGAATAATCATTGACTAACGGTCACTAAACACCACACATTCATCAAAGTGTTGTTAAAAATTCTCATCGCTTGTTTAACGGGTGTACTAATTTTTTGGCTTTACTTCCGATAATAACTCGCTTCGAAGAATCATTAGATATAAAATCACTTTCAGGAGAAATTATTCTTTAATTATTTGCTAGTTCTTTCTACCTTGTTATAGTTCGTCCATTGAGTTTAAATTAAAAGCCATCATCTTTCCAAAAATTATGTCCAGATTAAAAGTTCAAAATATAGTTGTTTTTTTTATATATTATAATAATACAAGCTAGATTTTGTAAATTGGCGGAATAGAACTCGTCAAAGTAACATTTCGAGCCGCTTGGTCACTAATTTATTAATCATCTAGCATTATAAAGAAATTCGAAAGTAACCTAATCTGTGAAAGAGCACTAATTTTTTGATAATACAGGCGATCTTGTATTAATAATACAAATAAAGATGGGTATTTTACAAATTTTACAAAAGATAGGTATTTTACTATTAGTGACTGTTTATGAAACGGAATTCCTTGTATTTTAAATATTTTTTCTTGCAATTTCGACTTTGTATTTTGTACTTTTTTATTATGAAAGCAAATTGTACAAATTGCACGCTACTACACTACTAGTATTAATTAGTTTGCATTTCATCATGAAACAGAGCCCTGGTGGATCGTTTTTTGTCAAATGCTGATTTTTATCATGGATGCAGTAATGTATGCAGAATACACAGATTTAATGATTCGGTTGGCCGAAAAAATCTCATAATAAAGCAGCTCCTTCCAATCCCACCTAATGCACATTACCTTATTTGGATGTATCCAGCTTTTGAAGTTGTTAACAGTGTGTCGCTGCGTTTTCCCCAGCATTTTCCTCTCTAAACATTGTTATAAAATTGTGGCCTAATAAATTTTTCTCAACATGTGAGGAACCGATTTATTGCTCCGACAAACATGTACAGCTGTTCTGAAATGCGTTGAAAGGCTTGTATGAGATATGTTAAGAGTCTCTGCGATGTCTCGTGTCGTTCAGAGCTTGAAATGGTCATCATCAACGGATGAAGCCGTGGGATTTTAATTGCTATTCGCATGTAAAAGCATTGGGTGGTTTGACTTCTCGTCCGCGACACCCAACGGGCCGTGAAACCCTCCTGCACGACATGAATTGCCTTACTTTATTTTTAATTATATTTTTCTAAATGAGACGAATCAAGTAGCTTGTTATTTAAAGTACTCCTGTTTTTTCCAGAGCGTTTTTTTAAATAAATATATATTCATATATGTTAATAGTTATGAGTTATTCAGTGTTATATCTTAAAAAAAACATAGGACTTAATTTCCGTCCTTGTCTACAAAACAAATATTTAAACTGCGCACTTTTTTCCTGTTTTTGAATATCGAGTCGCATTTATGGGAAATTTTTAAAACAAATGCGACACAAATGCCGCACAGGTCGTAAATCACAAACAGAACTGGAACAAGTAAAACAAAGCGTTCCGGCTTTTAAAGGTTTACCAAGCCCATTAAATTTGGAATAGTTCATAAACTTAACGACCTTAAAAGATTAGATAAAAAAGAAGGCATATTGTTGATAACTTTAAGAGCAGAACAACTCTGGTTTGTACAAAAAGACAGTTACTTATCAAATAAATGGGACGCGGCAAAAACACAATAAAATTCTTAAACAAACACCGAATGAGCTTTCATTACAGCTTTAACAAATTTTTCCAACGAATTTTTTCTTACAATTTAAAACAAACTATGAATTGTAAACAAGGATACAAACATTTAATGAAAGGCAACAACCCACAGACAATTCGAAATATTGTTAAGACAAAATGTCCATTTATATTATTATTAATGATAATTTAATTCTTTAAATT